GGGGGGGGGGGGGGGGGGGGGGGGGGGGGGGGGGGGGGGGGGGGGGGGGGGGGGGGGGGGGGGGGGGGGGGGGGGGGGGGGGGGGGGGGGGGGGGGGGGGCTCAGGTGATACCGCAACATCGGGACGGAGGATGTTCTCAGATTCGCGTCTGGAGACTTATCAGCTCGCGCGACATTGGCGCAGCGAATCAGACGGCAGAATCCCGGCGAGTTTTGATAACATGCGCTTACATTGACAGGAGCGGATAATCCACTCTCCGCTCAATTATTAGTTCCGCCCGAACCTATGTAAGCAAGTACTCGAACGCGTTGCACCGCATGTACGCACTCGAATGGAACGGTACTTTATTCGGGGATTATCGACGCCGCATGCCGAGCGTTTCGTCCGCCAGATCACGAGCGGTGTCGCTGGATCTCGAGCATGAAACTGCAAAAAGTCGCCGGTTTTTTGTGTCGCTCTACAGGGCCGGATTTACCAATAGGCTACCATAGGGCGCAACATTCTGAGGGGCGCAAAATTTTTGAGAATTTATTCAAAAACGTGACTTATTAAAACATTTCTACGTTGTGGTTGACAAATTTATTTCCTTCGCGTGTCAGAAGCACACGGGCACGGGCTACTAGTTGCTACTCGGGCAAAAGCGAAACGAAAAGAATGGACTGATGAAACTCGTGCGTAAACGTATATACCTCAGAACTGTTTAAAATCGTGTTTTTTTAAAAGTGAATTTGAAAATTTTCCTCACACCTAACATCCTCCTTCTGATCTGGAGAGGGGGACGTCTGGGGGACACCCCCCCCACGAGAGCGCCTACTTGTAGGGGCGCCACCCTAAGTTTAGCCTAGGGCGCTAAAAATGTAAATCCGGCCCTCGCTCAGTGATAACGATGCTAAGGCACCTATCCAATGGAGAATTTGCATGCAAATTTTTTATTGCCTCATCTGAAAGTGCTTAAAGAGCCGATTTCTCAGTATGTTTTATAATTTTTATCTGATACGGGAAATAGTATAGAAATAGATTTAAAAAAGAGAAAATGCACCACCTAGTGACGTCATCTGGCGGCATTTCCCATTTAAACACATGTATTTTGGCAGATTAGATCATTTTGTCATATCTTCTCCAATAATTGTTCAATTCATGAGCCAAGGGTATCCTCGTGTTCAGTTCACACAGTAGTTTCCACTTAAACACGAAATTCGTCAAATTTCAGACACCTGCAAATTCTCTATCCTGCAACCTCCGCTAAAAACGATCTCGTTGGAATCATGTTGTAACTATAACATGGTAAGTACCAACAATGTCGGTTTGACTCGAAAACCCTTGGGGTGTTGATGCGTTTTCGGGGCCCCTTCCTCACGAGTGGGGCCCCCTCTAACTGACCCAAAGTTTTCATTTCATGTGAGTTTCTCAAGTTTTGGGGGAAGAAACCTACCGGGCCGGGGCCCTCTGAGTCACCCGTCGAATTTCCGAGAAGCTGAAGCGCCCTAGCATCCCTGACCAGGGACCGAATTTTGTCGGTCCTTCCACAGGACGGGTCTTAAGTCCGGCTTAGCGCTTCTGTTTGGCCGGTGGTGCGGTTTGAACTCATCGATAGAGGGGAATTTGCTGGGAGGAGGAATTCTGCTGATAGAGAGGAAGAATCAAGTAAGTTTTTAAGAAATAAAGTCGAATAGTTTTCCGATTAAAAAATAAAGTATGGCGGGACGTTTGCGACGTCGTAAATAGATATTCGTGGTTTTGCACTTCGGCCATCGATATTCTCCTCAAACTACATTCGTGGTTATGTGAGAATCTTGCAATCGGAGATTCGAATACGTGGGCGATGATGGAAGGCGTCGCCAAAAAAATTAAACTGGTGAATTTCGGCAGCACGACGTACGAGGTAAAAAATACTAAATTTCAGCGAATAAGCTGACTTAATGATAAAAGAAGAAGAATAAGAAGAAAAAAGAAAAAAAAGATTGTTAAACCTCTTCAAATTCTGATGGCGTGATGATGAACAGAGGTATACTTCTAAGCTTGATAAGAGTGGTTCAATAAACTGCTACCACCCACCTTCCCTCAACAACGATACAAAAATTGCACGTACATGCTTTCATTTACTTCGGTTGCCTCAAAGGAAACGCATTGGCGATTCATAAAACAAAAAAATGGACTTTTTTAATCGTTTTTTTTCTGGAAAAAAAAATCATTTTCAGCTAATCACGAATTTAAGTATTGATCAAATTCATTAATTATATGATCCTGCACAACGATGACGATGTGTGGAAATAAAACGTTCGGAGGAAGAGATATCCTCCGAAAAACGCGTCTAAAAGAGAAAACTTGCAATAAAACGTGAGCTGACGCTCCTCCAAGTAATGCATTTCCAGGCAGTTTTTTCGGGGAGCTTTAACCCTTCTGAATCAGCACTTCATTCCTAGATCTTAGGTATTTTAGACTTTTATAGAAACTTATGATTTTTTTTATTGATTTTAGAGAGTAAAAGAGTGACGCAGCGCAGATGGCAAGTGGGCACAAATAAAGTGATTAGATAAGAATGCAAAGTATGAATGAATGAATATGACGGTGGATGGGATATAGAATTAGTGATACCTCTTATCATCTCGATTCAATGTTACAATCGTAGTAACTTTTTTAATACGAGCTTTGCGGCTCCACCTCTTCCTCACAACTTTCTCAGGTTTGAAAAACTATGTTCCTCAATATTCCATAAAGTCTGCAAAAAAGGATAGTTTGCAAAATTTAACTCCTCTCCGCGACAACCCTACAACCCCTACAGATTGTTAAGCTTAAATTTCAACATTCATGTTTTTTTTTGGATCATCATCGGTCAGAAAATCTCTTTTCAATTTTAGTGTTCTGACTAGTTGTGGCCAAAAACTGAAGCTAACTTTCCTTTAATATATTAATACAGAGATTGGGAAAAAAAAAAATTGTTATCCTGCGGGCCCTGCGGCATCTCGTACATTCTTTTTTAGCGCTATTTTTTGTCATGAAGTGAACTGTATGTATTGGGAGGGAAGGAAGCGTATATATTCAAAGTGCAATCCACCGAGACACTCTTAATATTTTTAATTGTGGATACCCATCACTAACTGTCTGTCAACACGACATCACAATCAAATCAGTTCGCTGTCAGTTTGTCCGTTAGAACTACTTAAAGTATAGGTAAGCTGGTAAGCACTCATTTAACTATCATATCCGAGCTTCCTTAAGATAATTTAATCTAATTTAATTTATTGTCGCCATCATACCCGGGCTTTTTTACAGGACAATTTAAATTAACGTGATTTGCTTGGGTTTAAGTGAGCATTCGTCCTCCCTGAATTGGTACCAAAAATCAGGGATGAACCAGTAGCAGGCCTGATTATCCACGAGTCTCTTTGCGTGATCCACCACTGATCGACTGATCTATCTTTGCCTTCTTCAGAATCAGGGTCAAATCAGGGTTGGGCCCGGACCTCAGCGAAACAGGAGTCACTCTCTGTTTTTTCCGAGACCAGCTAGGAGTTGTGAATGTGAATGATGACTGGATTCAAGAATGGAACTCGGAATTCTTGTGGGGATGATGAGCATTTAAAGAACTCTAAAAGGGATTGCCTGGGAAGCATCCCCCGATATGAGGGTACTCTAGGGACCCTTGAGAAAATTTTAAAATTTGAGAAGTCTTGGTTGCACTTTTGCGTCGTTCATAAGGGAAAAACTGGTCGAAACGCGGCTTCAGGGATGACACACTTGGTTCGCAAAATCCCTTAAATCTGATGAAAACATGGGATGCAGCCTCCCCCTATTTCCACTCATGATTGTATCAACTCTGCATGTCGATGGCCAAAGTGCGAACTCATGTATCTCCATTGCGGGGTTTCAAAATTTCCGCCCCTATTTCAGTTTTACAAAGGGAAACAAGCCAAATTTCTGGCTTGAAATTCAAACAGAATATTCTGCTAAGAAAGCAGCAAAATCAAGGATGTTTTCCAGAAATCACGTACGTAGACTACTTTTCCAAAGAAAAAATAAAGTAGGTATGACGGGAAGTCTGCAACGTTTAAAACGAAGATGCGGTTTCGCACTTTGGCCATCGATGTGCTCACAAGAAAATATATTATCCAGCTAATTTATTTCTATTTTCACTTCTTCCCCAAAAAACCAAGGAAGGACATCGTCCGTGAACGTAATTGAAATTCTCCGCTCGAAAACGACCGAACTCGGGTTTTTTATGAAGATCATTTTTTTGAGTAGAGACACTTATTTTCCATAGAGAAAAAAAAGGAGGTGTTTGCATTTTGGGCATCTTGGAATTTTTTTGATGACGTAGGTCGGTACGGCGACTTTTATCATTGATTTTCTTGGAAATGGTGTAGGAAAAAATGCATTCTACATAAAGTGTTTTAAATTATATCATGAGTTCATTAAAGCAAAAAAATCGGACGTTATGGTCCGTTTTTCATACCTCGAATTCCGGATTTCGCTGGCCAGGTTGTACCGGCCCACGTCACAGGGTAAACAAACCTCAAGATGCAAACACCTCCTTTTTTTCCTCTATACTTCTTTTCTAACCGTTACGCAATTTTGATCGTCTCCTAAAAAATTTCAGTTTTCCGAGATGGATCGTTTTTGAACGGAGGAATCCAATTAACATCTGACAAGGTAGCCTAATCAAAACCATACGTAGCAAAATATATAAGTGCTGTCAAATAAAACCTCTGCACTTGATCCAAATTCCAAAAAAATCCTCTGATGCCAAAATCTAATCAGTACACTTCGACCGGACGGGATTTCGGTCGTCGCGAATTTTGGCGGGAATCGCGCTAGCGTCCGCGTGACTCTCACTGAAATCGCGCACACGTGTTCGCGGGTCGCGGGTCTCGGGTCTCGCGGCGTCGCGGTGGGCTCCGAACGAGGACTGAGCGACGGCACCACGACTGCCTCGGAGTCGGTCTCCTATCTGGAAAAGGTGGAGAGGAGATGGAGTAAGTATTAATAGTTGTCAAGATAACCCTTTCCCTTTCCAACACTCGCCATGCCACCCGCCGGATCATCCATCGCAGCTGAAATCGCCGCTGCCCGATGCGCGCGCACCCCGGCATATTTACAGCACCATCCTCCCCCTCCCCCTCCCCCCGCGGGTCGCCTGCACTCCACACTCCACTTTTATGTCTGTTTATTTGTGTATACTAATTGGGAGAGTTGGGAAAGGAAGTTGCTCCTACTCTTTGATAAGTGTCCCGGCCGGAGAAAAGGACGGGAAACGCGGATTTTGGGTAAATACGTTTAAAGAGTGCAAATCGACGCGAAAATATTATCGTTGGAGAGTTTCCGACTGTTTGGATGCGCGTGGATCAAAATTTGCGTGCGCCCGATACCGTAGACTTGGCATGAATTAAGAGGGATGGGTGCGAGAAGCATATATCGGATTCGCTTCTGATTGGCTGCTGAAGTTGGTCTGAAATGTGCGCCACGAACAGTTCACGCAGGCTCGCGGTTTGGTGCGCGTGTATACGTCAAGTTTTGCGGATGTATTGGTTAATGGTCTGGTCATGGATGAGGAAAAATGTTCTGGCTCGCACTTACGTCACAATTATTCGGGGTGCATCTGAAGGCGTTTTAATATTACGTCATGACGTTGCACGAGGGGGAGGTGAGGGCAGTTCGTATAATGGCGCGTTATAAAGGAAAATTTAAGAAGGTTAGTAAGGAGGAGGATGAGGATTAAGTGAGGGAAGGAGGAAGGGAGGGAGGATCAGTGGATGTGAGAATCAAGGCAAGCATTGTGTTCTGTTTTTTTTTTTTTTTTTTTTTTTTTTTTTTTTTTTTTTTTTTTTTTTTTTTTTTTTTTGGCGTGGGAGATGGCATTAAAGTTTTAAAGGAAACGTCCAGATTCTTGAATATGTTTTGTCAACCAAGAAAACTACACGAGAAAAAAATTGGAATAGATTACGTGATACATATATCGTGCAGTTTTGCTGATCTGCTGCGATAAAGGCATTTTCCAAGCAGTGTAATTTGGTTTTGCTATGCAATTTTCAAGAAAATGGGCTGGAAAATAGTGTCAATTGGCTATGCTCATGATCCTTTCAACTTGATTGGGCATACGTCACTTAACATCAAGATTTTTCCTCTTTCATGAGATTGGAAAGCGAAGAGCGAGTTAAATTAGTTTCCGTAATTATTCAGTCTCTATTTTAATTTTTTAGCTTTTCATTGAGAGGTCTCGGACAAGATAAAAAGTAAGCTCGATTATACTTACATTTTGAAATTAAAAGCAAGACGTTGGAAGGGTTTCTAAAAGAAAGGACCGTCTCGATTGCAAATTCTGAGTCACCAAAAAAGGGTGCTATGCTTAGCTCTGTTTGACATATTCTGCTAGTACAAAATTTTAAAGGCACTTGGATGTCATCGAGCAAAAATTATCTGACGCTAAAGCGGTTTGCTACTTCAGCGGGCCCAGATAGTGGTGAATTCGAATAAGATCTGGTGATTCACCTACTTGCCGCCCATGGGCCGCCTGTATTTTGCCGCCCCCTTCTCATTCCTTTTGAAACCTCAATAAAAACCATCAATTGAACGTGCAGCGGGGAGGGGTGCATAAGACGCGTTTACTCGTATTGGTCACATTTTTTGCGAAGCCCTGTCAACATTACCAGCAAAAGTTCACGAACTTTGCGCGAAAGTTAAGTTCCGTGAACTTCTCTCTATGTGAACAAGGTCCTTCCATTTATAAGAAATGAACGCAAAAATTATGAAAGAACAAACTGACTGCACTGTGTTTGACGCAATGCGTGAAGCATTCCTACAGTCAAATAGGCGCTGTACGTTTCACACCGACCGCTTCTGAACGCACTGTGTTTGACGCAATGCGTGAAGTATTCATGCAGTCTTGTAGGCGCTATGCGCTTCACGCCGACCGAACCGCTGCTGACCGCACTGTATTTGACGGAATGCGTGAAGTATTCATGTAGTCTTGTAGGCGCTATGCGTTTTATGCCGACCGCCGCGCCGCTCAATTCCAGGTTAAATTGCGTGTTTGGTTTCTCTCTTAACTAGACTAATTAAAGGTGTTATCTCTTGTATCACCGAAAGACGACAAAATTAGAAATTACTATAATTTTACCCTCAGGAAATGAGAGATTTTGTCGCCTTTTCTCGTTCGTAATTTATTTTCTGAATCCTATTTTTTTCTCTCTTTTTTTGATACCTACATTAAAAAAATTGCAAAATTTGCCGCCCCCTAAAGTTGCCGCCATGGGCCGCGGCCCATGTGGCCATCCGCCATCCCCTTAATCCGGCCCTGGTATGAGACGTTCAATACAACAGAAAAAAAACAGTTTGGAAACCTGGGCAAAAGTCAAAATCGTCACGTAATGATTCGCTCGATACCTCTCATCTCTTTATGAGACTGCATATAACACTGGAAAAGCACCCCATCCCCCTCCACGAACGTTGCATAATTCAAAGAGCCAAGTCTTGAGCTTCATGAGAATTCGCATTTCTCGAGACTCACGCGGAAATGAGATAGATTGATATTAATAAATGAAGTCCAATTATGGAATATGCGCGCGGCAGTTCAATATCACTCGCTGAAAGAGCGCTCTGACAAAATCTGAAACTAATGAAAACATGACAAAAAATACCTGGTCAAAATTAAAAAGACCTTAATGCTACCTACCTAGGAAGAGCGGAGTAGATAGTGAATAGTGAATCCCTATCTTAGAAGTGCGTTTTTGACCTATTCTCGAGAAATCTAAAATATTAATGTTTAGATGCAACTGTAGCTTTGGTCAGGTCTTCAACCATGCGGACGAAAGTATGAGATCAGGATCATAAATCGACGGCTAGCGGTGGATGGTTTTCTGTTGAAAATGACGCGTAGGAAACAGGTGAAAAATTCAGTTGGATCTCTACTGATCTCCCTTGAATCTCTATTGATATCAGTTCAATCTCTACTGGTAAATTAATTGAATCTCTACTTATGCAGATAAAGTTAAAAGACATCAGTAAGATGTCTCTATCCGTTTTTGACAAATACGAGTAGTGGTCCGATTGATATGGCGAGGAATCCAGAGCATATCAGGACAGGCATGATAGATACCTCAGGGGCTATTTTCCGTTTGAAGAAAAAGTATGAGATAAAATGCGATGAAATACAGATATTAGCTGTTAATCACATCGACATAGAAATTCCTGAACCACGCATATCGGTTTGCGACGTTGCAGACTTCCTGTCACATTTTATTTTTTAAATGGAAAACTACTCAACGTGAATTTTTAAAAACAGCCATGACTTTTCTTTTCTGGGCGGAGAAAATTCTGTGAAAACTTCAAGTAATGATGATGATTCGCTCACCTGTAAAAAATAATATGGGAGCGGAAACGACACCTTTTAAACACAGCAAACGAAATAATTGATGGTTTGGGAGTTTCGCCGTCGAGATACATCCTGATCAGAGGCTTAAATTTCAGGAAGAAAGGAAAGAAAAAAACTGATATCAGTAGAATACTCTAATGACGCGTGTAGAATTCCTACAGGTCTATTTCGGACAAAAATGAGTAGACCCGGGCCCTCCCATCATTTTCGACAGGGCTGACTACACGGAAAAAAAATTCTCGGCGTTTTTACCAAGATCCGTTAGTACCTTTACCATCTCACTTTTTTTACCAATTATTGGTAATTTTACCAAGACAGACTGATAAGCTTACCTAAAAACCGGTATTTTTACTGTTTTTTTTTCAGGTAAGAATACCACTTTTATTGGTAATCAATTCCCGGTAACTTTGCCATTTTATCCCGGTAATTCTACCACAGTTGATAAAAAATATTGGCGTTTTTACTGCGGGGTCCAGTAAAATTACCGAGAAAGTCAATAATTTTACCGAGATTTCTCGGTAAAATTACCAATTCCATAAATGGTAATTTTACCAAGAAAAAACTGGGATCAAATAGAACCCTGAATTCTTGGTATAATTTTACCCTTTTCTTGGTAAATACGATTTTTTTTTTCAGTGTAAGAATATCTAGTTTTAACCTAATCCTCGTCTCTATCAGGGCAATGAAAAAAGTGAGCACTCATAAGCCGTAGAAGATGACTCAAAGTATGGGTGCGAGTTAATTCCAATAACAAAACGCGGTATGGGTATTGTTCCAATACACAGGTTGAGCGACATTTGCACACCCCTCCCCCTTTCCGGTAATGGCGTCAGCCTTCAACAGCACCTGTATTTACAAATTTAAGTCGTAACCACCATAATTTCTTCGTAACTATCCTATTCTTTGAGGTATTCAACAATGAACATCCAAAAACAGTTTGACCTAATCCGCGGTGTGGTTTACTGTATTTTTGAGTCGGGAATTGTGTTGCGCTGCGGAATGGCTTTGATGTGATACCGGAAAATGCAGCATCAAAGTCGAGCTTTTTTCACGTGAGTTGATCGTTGCGATGTATACTTACTCTTTACGAAACGTTTTCAGTCGAGAAAGGAGCAGCGTTGGATGCCAGGGTTTTGTGTTTTATTCACCTCTGTTTTCCCTCTATGCTAAACGCAGGGTTTTGAGAGAAGTTCTTATGATTCTCCTGAAATCTAAAATGTTTGGAAAAACATAACCGAAATATCGATTGCTAAGCAAAAGAGTCCTTAAGGTAGGAAAGCAATAAAACGAAACAGCACAGCCGAAAGAGCCTAATTCCATGTCGTTTTGCGCAAGAACACCAAAAAATTCCATTCATTGATTTTTCTAGGGAATTTCAAAGTTAGAGGTTGATAAACTGTGAAATTGGGAATAACACAGCTGAAGTTTGCTATAATTTTTGCAAGCTTTAGAGAAGCGTCATTTCAAACACAAGAGACGTAATTATGTAAATTATTGCCGAAAATTTTGGGTCAAGATTCTTAAATGTTTTGGAAAGCGTTTAGCAGAGAATATTAAAAATCAATTAGTCAGACCCCAAATTGATTTTTTACGCTGCACTGACCGGATTGAGCTTCCTCTTTTTTTCCTCTTTTGCCCACCTCCATATCACACATACTTGAAGGGATTTAACGGAATAGTCTTCCAGGGGATCTCAAAGTACTTTCATTAGAGTGTTTAAAGGCAAATCAAGGGTTTCTTTCTTTTTTTTTTACATAGAAGTGGAATTTGCGATCTTCGCGCCAAACCTGAATTACAGGGAGGAAACGAAGTATTTCCGATTTTTTCCCCATTTATCTTGATTTTTCAAAAATAGAATACAATCGGATAAATCAACCAGGGGAAGAAAAAAGTTACGGAATATTTAAGAAAAGTGTATCGACAGCAACATGTTCAACTGGTCGTTTGAGGCAGTTGCAGGAGACACGGAATCCCCAAGCGTTAGCCGCTGCGCCGCGCACGGCGATCGCGAAGTTAATGATAGCGCCTGGCTCGGATGTAACTATTACTGCTCTCCGGAAGTCCGTGTTGCCTATACACAAAATAGAAGGCGCTCTGGTTGTCCTTACGCTCAGCCGCACAGCACAATAGAAAGCGCATAGAGCGAATTATCGTTTAGTCTTTTCAGGAGGTACAATTTATAAACGAGGGGTTCTCTATTTAGCAGGACTGGATAAACGATAGCGAATGAAAAGCGGCTGCATTAGACGTCTTAACAACAAGAACGCTTAGAGCGTTCTTGTTCTTGTTCTCGCTTGAGTGAGAGAAGAGAGAATAAAAAGGAAGGGAAGAATAAGAAAGAGGGCAAGAGTAAAAAAACTGGAGGAAAAAAGTTTAAAGTTTGATATGATACCAAAACTTTAGTTTTTAGTGTTTCAAAATTTAAAGGTTGCTTCTTTAGGTATATAGTGATGAAAAGAAAGAAAGAAGGGGGAAAACACACAAAAAGACCCTCCATTGAAAGAGGATCTGCAAGACTCACTCAGCTCCAAAGGAGAGTTTGAAATATTTCCTTAACAGGGCCGGATTTACCTACTTGCCGCCCATGGGCCGCCTGTATTTTTCCGCCCCCTTCTCATTCGTTTTGAAACATTAATAGATCGTATTCGACAGTGGTTCGATGTATCGTTTGGTTCAAAATAATGAACATAACCTCAAACAAGAATTTTGGGATTTAATTTGGAAAAGCAGACAATGGGAAAATTCCTGACAATTTCACTTTTCATTGCCATTTGGTACTCGAGAGAATAAAAATTCGATCACATAAGACCCGTTACCTCAGGTTTCTAAATTGACTTTTGAGGCTGTGTATATTGAACCAATCGATATCAATATAATCTCACCTAGGTGATCTATCGAATACGATCTATAAAAATCATCGAACGAACGTGCCGGTGGGGGAGGGGTGTATGAAACGCGTTTACTCGTGTTGGGCACATTTTTTGTGAAAGCACTGTGAACACTAACAAAAGTTCACGGAACTTTGATCGAAAGTTAAGTTCCGCAAAACCATCCCTGTTTGGACAAGGCCTTCCGTTTATAGCAAATGAACGAAAAAATTATGAAAGTACAAACAAAAATGAGGTTTAATAATTTTAACTTCCGCCGCCGCGCCATGAGAATTTCACCTGGCAATTTCACTTTTCATGGCCATTTGGTACTCGAGAGAATAAAAATTCGATCACATGAGACCCGTTACCTCATTCTTTTCTTTCATTTTCTACCATTTTTTTGTTTTCAATTTTCCTATAAAAACTACTCATTTGCTAATACACTTCTGGCTAGAGCGAATTTTAGCTATGCATTCACGACTGCAAAAATATGAAAGGAAATCCACAAGGCCAGCGTGTATGAAGGCTATTTCAATTGTAATCTTCCGTCGTATTTCTAAGGCGCAATGATACAACTATTTGAACTCTCCGGAATGCGTGAGGTAGGTATCACGCCGCACTTGAAGGCGTTTTCGAAACAGCCAAGTTCCGATACCCGGATTATCGTTTTGCATAGTTCAAATTCTTTTCTTTTATTCCGTACCACTTGTTTATTTTGAATCCTCGTATAAAAACCACCCATTTGCTAAATACAATTCTAGCTGGAGCGCACTTCAGCTGTGCATTCACCACTGCAAAAATGTCAAAGGTAATCGACAAGTCCAGCGTGCATGGAGGCTACTTCCATTTTAAATCGTCCGTCACATTCTTACGGCGCAATGATACAACTATTTGAACTCTCCGGAATGCATAACTCCGCCTGTGCCGTCTCCTCGACGGTACTGCCGGTCCCAAGCCCGGGCTAAGGAGGAGGGTTCGGAGGTAAGGCTAGCAACCTGCCTCCGGTAAAAAGACCCGTTTTTGCTCATAGGAGAAATAAAAAGCCTCGGTATCAGAATAGAAAGGACTTTCGACCCAAAGATTTAAGGATAACGGACAAATGGACAAAAGCGGCTCAAAAATTGAGAATTGCGTCTTGGAATGTGACATCATTAACAAATAAGGAGCAAGAAGTTATTATTGAATTGGATGGAAAGAAGATCGACATCTGTGCGCTGAGTGAGACCAAGAGGAAAGGAGCTGGAAGTGTAATGAGGGGCAACTACCTGCTCATATATAAAGGCGTCGACAAGAGTGAAAGAGCACACGCCGGCGTTGGAATGTTGGTTCATAAGAACCTCATTGATAATATCATTGATATCGATTATATAAGCGAAAGGATCCTAAAAGTTATCATCTACTTAGGCCGAGAAAAATTAAATCTGATATCAATTTACGCGCCAGATACGAGTAGAGGGAAGCCAGAGCGAGATACGTTTTATGAGTCTTTACAAAAAGTCATCGACACAATACCAGCTCGGGAAAAGTTAGTCATGATGGGTGACTGGAATGCTCGTGTTGGGAATAATGTTGTACCTGGGATCAAAAATAGATTCAATGAGCCCACCTTGAATGACAGCGGTGAGGAACTCATTGAGTTTTGCGCCATAAATGAATTGAGGATTAATAACACGTTTTTTGATCACCCGTTACAACAGAAAATTACCTGGACCAATCGGAGAGGCCAAGCATCGATGATTGATTTCATCATCAGTAATCGGCATGTACATCCACAGCAGATCCTAGATGTTCGCACCTTGTCATCCGCAGATGCTGGTACTCAGCACGGCTTAGTGTTATGCGAACTAAGAATCGATTTCAGTCAGCGAAAACAGCAACCGGTGATTTTCGAAAAACTTTGTGTTGAAAAGATGTCCGACCCCAGCATCAGGAGCTTCTATCGCTCCAGGCTGCATGGCAAGTTGGAGAGTGTGCCAGATGAAGATTTGACAGCAAATGAGCTGTGGCGGCATGTAAAATCGAAGGTGCTGGAAGCAGCTGGTGAGGCAGTAGGATGGCGAAAAGTAAACAGAAATCGCACAGATACCCGGACACCCTGGTTTTGTGATGAAGTCAGAGATGCTGCAAGGTCTAAGAAGGAAGCATTTTTACAGTATAAATCTAATCCCACTCCAGAAGAATATGAAAAGTACAAAAGGGTCCGCAATTCGATGAACCAGAGAATTAGGAAAATTAAAGAAGGCTATTGGGAAAGTTACACCAAAGGAATGGAGCATGACTTTTATGGTGCGCAACGGAAAATGTGGAATGCTCTTCGAAATCAGCGGAAAGAAATCTGTGAATTTAGGCAGGCCCATCACATTCGGAAAGAAGAATGGCACACTTATTTTACTGAACTGTACAAAGATGCAGATGACGACATCCAAGAGAGGATTGATTACCAGAACGAAGATAATGTGACCGTGTCATTGGAGATGGTGACCAAAGCCATTCACAGATTAAAGCTCAGAAAATCCCCTGGACCAGATGGCATCGGAAATGAATTCGTTAAATATGGTGGAAAAGTCCTAGCTGTGTGGATGCATCGTCTGTTCCAAAAAATTTTGGAAGAAAAGAAAATGCCGGAAGACTGGAAGGATAGTTTCACAATTCCCATCTTCAAGAAAGGTGACAAATTTGTACCTGAAAATTATCGCGGTATTACGCTCCTAAACACGTGCTCCAAGCTATTTACATCCGTTCTTAAAGATATTTTGGAGCAGATTGTGCATATGGCCGAGGAACAGCAAGGGTTTAGGAAAAACAGAGGCACCAACGATGCCATATTCATGGTACGACAATTGGCAGAGAAATCCATCGAGTTCAACAAGCCTTTATTTTTATGTTTTGTGGATTTGGAGAAGGCATTCGACCGCGTACGGAGAACAGATGTCTTGAGGATACTTAACGAGCGGAATGTTCCCAGGTGTCTCATCGAGATAGTTGCCGACTTGAACTCGAACACCAAGACACGGATAGTCACCAGGGAGGGAACCTCTGATGTAGTCATTGTAAACAGAGGAGTAAGACAAGAGGACTCCCTCAGCTCTTTTCTATTCAATTTGTTAATGAATAAGCTAATCGATGCAGTTAGATTTAAGAGAGGCTATCGGCTAGGCAATTCGAATATTAATATAATCTGTTATGCAGACGATGCTGTTTTAGTAGCAAGCTCCGAGGATGATCTGCAAAGAATGCTCCATTCCTTCAACCTGGCTGCAGAGGTATTCAACATGAAAGTGTCGGCTAAAAAAACAAAAAGTATGGTCATCAGCAAAAATCCAATACGATGTAAGCTAGTCGTGGACGGTACCGTAGTTGAACAAGTAATGCAGTTTAAGTACTTGGGCGCTTTAATAACGAGTGTGAAGGATTTAGGGACCGAGGTGCGGAGTCAGACAATCAAGGCAACTAGAGTAGCCGGATGCCTAAATGAAATGGTTTGGAGGAATAAGTACATGGCTAAAGAGAGCAAAGTTCGAGTTTATAAAACGGTTGTAAGACCTGTGCTGACTTACGCTGCGGAGACCCGAGCGGACACGAAGCGCACTAAACAACAGTTGCGGACCGTAGAAATGAAAGTCCTGAGGAAAATAGCAGGCTTTACGCTCCGAGATAGGCAGACCAACGAGTCAATTCGCGAAGAGTGCCAAATTCAAGATATTGCCAAATGGACCAAGATGCGCCGGAAAATGTGGTCGGAACATGTTGAGAGGATGGAGGGGGAAAGGCTTGCCAAGATTTGTATGGTAGGACGACCTCATAGCCAAAGGCAACCCGGACGACCGCCCAAGAGATGGGCACAGAGCTGCCTTTCATCCCCGGAGAATTAAGTGATCTCTCTCATCGGCATCATATTACTGTTTTAGAGGCTAGACAAACAGGGTCACGGCCCTAGTCAGAAGGCAGAAGAAGAAGAAGAAGGAATGCATAAGGTATCACGCCGCATTTGAAGGCGTTTTCAAAACAGCCAAGTTCCGATACCCCGATTATCGTTTTGCATAGTTCACATTGTTTTGTTTTATTCCGTACCACTTGTTTATTCTTAATCCTCGTATAAAAACCACCCATTTGCTAAATACAATTCTAGTATTTCTAAATTGACTTTTGAGGCTGTGGTTACATATTGAACCAATCGATATCAATATAATCTCACCTGTGTGATCTGCCGAATACGATCTGGAAAAACAATGTAGTGAACGTGCCGGTGGGAGAGGGGTGTATGAGACGCGTCTACTCGCGGTGTTAGGCACATTTTTTGTGAAAGCCCAGTCAACACTAACTAAAGTTCAGATCCGTAAACCCATTTCTGTCTGTACAATGCCTTCCATAAAAAACGAACGAAAAAATTATGAAAGAACAAACATAAATGTGGTCAATAATTTAACTTCCACCGCCGCGCCGACCGCACTGTGTTGGCGCAATGCGTAAAGTATTCATGCAGTCTTGTAGGCGCTATGCTATTCATGCCGACTGCCTCACCGCTCCGTTCCAGGTCAAATTGCGTGTTTGGTTTCTCTCTTAACTCGACTAACTAAAGATGTTGTCTCTTGTATCACCGAAAGACGACAAAATTAGAAATTACTATACTTTCACTCTCAAGAAATGAGAGATTTTGTCGCCTTTTCTGGTTCGTAATTTATGTTCTGAATCCGATTTTTTCCTCTCTTCTTTTGATACCTACATTCAAAAAGATTGCAAAACTTGCCGCCATTGGCCACGGCCCATATGGCCACCTCCTTAATCCGGTCCTGTATTCTGGGAGATAATTATGAAGAAGCAGCATTTTCGCAACATTGTAATTGCGCTAGTTTTTTTTTTTTTGCTAAATGCGTTCCAAGTTTTTCTCAGGCACTAGCACCATGTGCCGTACTTAAATGTACCATATTATTCTTAATTGTTTGAAACCCAAAAATTCTTTATCGTGTCACTTTAACTAACAAATTTATAATCTGAAAAGTACCTTCTTGCTTATCTACCTATAGGTGAACTATAAATAATTCTAGTGTGAATCAGTATTTTTGCACTTCCTTTTTCTTGACTTCTGTTTTGGTTTAATTCATTCAGTCATTCTATTGAGCTATAGTTGTTTTTATTTGATCTATGTGAATGGTAGCAAGAATAGCAAATATTATTTTAGAAGTACGGAAGTGATAACTGTTTATTTTGAAGTTGATAAAATGGCACTGCAAAAAATATTAAAAAATAAATTCCCTGCATTTTCAGGGTTGAGGAACATTCCCTGAATTTCCAAGGACTTATCATCCTGATTTATACCTACGCAAAGTACCTAATATTCAAGCATGCCTACTTATTTGGATAAATACGAAGAGACATATTTGCCAAAAAAATACTTCTAAAATTACAGCAGGCAATTCATGTCATTAGAAATCATCATGTGCGACACAAGTATTAGAAGAAACTTACGCATGAATTCTTGTGCCAATATATAAAAGGCGACAGGAATGGGCAAAATAAACCTTAAATACCTGGTAGTTTTCCTTACATATTAGTCTGATTTCAGATAGTGTGTCAGAGAATGGCTGTGGACATAAAGTTTTGGCTTAAAATGTCCTTGCTGATGCGGTGTTTAGAAGAATTCTAATGAGAAGATATTGAAAAGGTGTTCTTCAAAAACGTAAACCAATTTCACTAAAAATTATCATTAAACATATTCAAATAAATTTTACTGTCATACTCAGAATTTCGAATTTTAATGACCAAAGCTGTAGGTAGAAATGATTGACTATCTAATGCATGTATGCAATCAAGCATTGATACTTCTTTTGCAGGGAACTAAAATCAATCAAATCAAATCAATCTCAATGATATTCATTAAGTAATTCAATTAATCTATGAGACTTTTGCTAATGGAAGTCATTGGTTGATTTTAACTCTAGGTGTTTACTGAGACAGAAAAATTAACAAACCAGCAGTTAACATAAAAATAATTAATTTATTATCTTTCTCTTTTTTTAAATACATGAGATATAATTCTTTAATCCTAGTTCCTACTCAATAACAGATATTTCTTTATACTTAGGACAGAAGTACATACCCACAAAAGAAAAGAAAAGAAGTCAGGAAAAAAGAAAATCATAAAAAAAGGTACCTACAACATTAAATACTGAAAAATATGGCTTAAGTAGTGATTCATTGAAAAATAAAAATAAATAAATTATCAGAAGAGACAAATAATATGTGTGGAGTGACAAATGTATGTCTTAGTGGCGAAGTCATACATATATTTACAATTATATATCACAATGGTTTATAAATTTTCAATAAAAAAATAAAAGTATTAAAAATGGCAGACAGTATATTACAAAAAATAAATAAATATACATTTTGTAATTACTTGTGCTTCTTCAAAGTCAGTTTTTTTGTTTTTTTTTTATTTCTTTATTTTTTAAAATCAAGAAATGGAACTTTACTGTTGAGGGATTATCTATCAAGGATTAGTTTGCATCATAGAAATACACAAACGTGTTCGTGTCTGGCCATCCAAGCTAGAGAGCTGGTCTGATTAAACTAAACATCGTCAAGCTGCTAATCAAAATTTGGGAGTAGTTAGTAGCTTACATAAAAGCCACGAGTTAAATGAAAACATAATAATTGCTATACATTCTTGACATGAACCAAAATAGAAGTTTCAAACAGAGCATAAAGATAGTAATTCTTGAACATTTGATCAAAGATTGAAAAAATTGAAGAACGATTTTAAAGGAGAAATGCTTGCTAGTATCTGAGACTCTGATTTGCTTGAATAACCTTATACAGACAGGCTAGGAAGAAATGGCTTTTAACTTTTCAATATTTCCCAAAATAACATTGTAAATCAGTAGCAAAGTGGATTTCATAACTTCAAGGATAGCATGATCATATTAAGACAAGAAATCTGTTGTAAAAGACTAAAGTAACATAAAATGTTAGTAAAAAGAGAAGGATTGATCATTGAAAACTTTTAAAAGACAAAGGGAAGGCATACGCGAGTATGATAGGTTTAAAAATTGTTAAAACACTATGAACAGCCTATGAAATGTATTAACTAAGCTTGTAAGCGCCAAGACCTGAAAATCTGGCAAAATTCCAGAGGATAGTCTCATCAGAATGAGAAAGTAAAAAATGTGTAAATTATGTCAATAAAAAACATAATTGCAGCAAAATCTTTTCAGAAAATTTGATTGTGGCGCAAACCTGATTGCACCCTTAAACACTCCATTTGTTTTAAGTACCCAATGCTTATGAGCGAGGATAATTTTAATATGATATAATCTTAACGGTAGGGAAATTCTTAAAAACATAAACTGGTGACCATAGAGACTTTAAAAAAGATTAGACAATACGAGCACACAGTCAGGGGCAACTTGCATCTACCTGCAGCACACTAAAGGCAATTTCCATCTCAAAGATCCTTTCTTTCACAGAGATAAAGCAAAAAATTGGGAAGCAACCCCTGCTATCATTACATAATTTCCACAAAAATACTTTTATGGACTTTTCTCAGGGCAAAGCAAAAAAATAGAGAGTAAAAGCTAGAATAAACAAGGTAAGGAAAACATAGGTTCAGAATGACAGGAGGGAAGGGATGAAAACTTTAAATCTTTCTTAAAATATTAAGTGATTGACACGTGGATAGATGAATGAAATCTTACTCTCATTAAGCATTAAATCCGTTCAAATGTTGAAAGGATTAAAAAGCTGCAATAGTAGTTGATGCCACAAAGGGCATATACAAGGGGGAAGAAAGGCACGAAGAGAGCTACTTACGCACCAAAGTGGCAATTGATTTTTTTAAAAGATACCAAGGCCATAGACAAAATAGATTTGAGTTTCTAAAATTTGAAAAAAACGAAATACCTAGGTTATATCGAAAGGGAAAAGGCGGGAAAATTAATAGGTGACAGCGTTACTTTGAGACTTGGAGATGAAAATTTAATTTTTAGAGAGAGGATTGTTTCGAAAATAAGAGGAGTGTTCTAAAGGTTTTATAAATCAGTTTTCACTAATTTTCAAGACCCTGTCTAACCACACCCTGCAATCAGAGACCAAACAATGCCACAATTCTCTGTGATAAAACAAGATATAAAACTGTGAGCCTGCTAACAGATGGAAATTAAGAGCATTCAAAATGAAGCTGTGATCAACTAAATGAAAAATTCTGAAAACTAGGTATCTAATATGAAACTAAGATTCAGATCGAGAAATCTATTCAGTCAGTAAGTTGACTAACGATGGCATTGGATTTGGCTAGTTGTACAGGCCCGGATACTTGTTTCGGTCATCTTTCGTAAGTTTTAACAACAAATTAGGGTGCTAACCTTAGTGGCTGATAAACTTTGAGAGCAAATTTTGATTTTTTCTTTCTTTTCTTTTTCATTTTAGGAATTGAGGGAGACAGATACGTAGTTTCAGAGAAAAATTCAACTGAAAAATAAAAGTAGCCTGCAAAGACAAACGTACTTTCTAACTTCCATTGTCACCTGAAATTGCACTGTACTCAATTAATATTTGGGTACTGGTACAATATTAAGCTAAAATCTACAGAAAATAACATTTTTTGACAAGCCTTACAGACACAATTTTCAGAATTACTTAATGGTGGCTACAGACTGACAGAATGTCTGTTTATACGTACTTGATGGCACTAAGAGAGAATATACTAGGTAATTAAGGTACATCCCTAGTGGTTGATTCTTCAACCATAAATAATAAATTTATGGTCCTGAATTCAAATACTATTTTTACTTTGTGACAAATAACTTCAAATTTTGACGCAAATTTACTTAAATGAGTTAGCGCAGTGAAAAATAGGACAGATCAATGCCCTTCATGGTTTGCTTTTCAATGAGTTTAGCTGTTTGGACGCCAATGATAAAGTGCTCCACTATGGTCCTTCAACGTTTTAGTGCTTACAAGATTTCAATTAAATTACCAACAAAATTCTCTTTTCTGGTTTCTATATGACAAAATTTGGAAAATAAAAATTCTTAACTTGCATTGCATCAAGTTAGGCTTATCAATTTCATTTGTCTAGAGGACTTCAAAAATGTGATTTTCACAAAATTAAACTAAAGTGCGTCAGTGTTCAGTCTTCTCCTAACATTCTAGGAGCCATTTAGGCCAGAAAGCTAAATTTTTAGGTGCCAAATAACCTTTATGCATATGTATCATGCACGACCGCTGCTTGGCAATTGAGAGTTTGAAATAATCAAAAGGATGCGTCAATTTTTTTAAGGCCCATCCCTCCCCCAAGTATCAAAGCACAGCGCCTGGGGAAGACAGAACACTGCAGCACATTATGTTTTAGCATGTGCACAACCTGTAAACCAGACATCTTTCAAAAATTAATCCGTAAATAAATATCGATGGTGAAATTAAAAAAACACTTGGCTCAGTTGCAATGTTTCAAAATATCCTCTCCTATTTCATCTCTTCTAAGGGAAAAAAGCTATTCATTGCTGTAATCACAAAATATAGGTACTTTGTGCAAGACAGAAAAATTGAGGAAGTTTTTGAAAACGAAATTGGGTTCCATTGTTTTCTGCTCAACATTAGGTATCAAAAGAAGGTCTCAACATTGGAGACCCAGCCACATATTTTTTCTAGTTTCACTAACGATGCACAGTTAACCACTTAACCAATTGAATGCAAAATGAGGTGGGCAGAAAATTTAATGACAAAAAGATGACATGGGTTAACTAAAAAGTAAGCAGGGTATAAAACAAAGGGAAATAAAAGATTTAATCTAATCTCATGAAGTCACTTAATGCAACCCTGCTTGCCTGTGGAAGAACTGAACTTAAAAAGTGTTTTTAGGATATTGTGGAATAATTTCATGATGCATTAATTACTTTGATGGGGCTGGGTAAAAAATAAATTAGTTCATGGGCAAGAACATAAGTAGGTACTAGACTGTAGTGTAATCATACTCTTAAGGTACCACTCACTCATTTCCTCAATTTTTTTTAAAAAAACATTTTGCTACATCTCTCATTAGAATCAGAAAAGGAAGGAACTGTGTATATGGGTAAAACAAGGCTTTAACGTCAAAAAACTAGAGGGCAAGACGTTCTGTCCCTCCAGATGCTTAATTTAGCAGCAAAAAACTAAGTGATAATCTAACTTCAGTAGTTACACCAGCCATTGGAATTCAGTTCGTTGTCCGGCTGCAGCATGTGTTTAAGTGATAACATCTGTTGTCGGGTCACGACCAAGGCTTTCGGTCACAGCTGAATTCCTTCATTGCATTATAAGATATTCTTTACGACTTCCTGAGCTAAACCTTAAGGATGAAATTTCTGGTTGTCAATACTGAGAAAAGCAGGGCTGCAGAGTGATTTTCTTCAGCTTATTTACACCCATTGCTCAGTTCTGTTTGTTTGTGACTGGAGTTGCCAAAAACGAAAATTAGCCTCATGAAGTACGATTGGATCACTGGTTTATTCAGTCCCAATACATTACTGATTAAACAAGCTCCTTTTTATTCAACAGTCAGGGAGGTAAAACGGACTAAGAGAATTGAATACTTCCAAATGGTGACAGGGAGCCGCACAGCTGTTACTGGCTAGAACACATCTTCATGAGAAAGTGCGTGTACTAAAGACGTGACTTTAAAACCCCGCTTCTTTTGGCAATGGCACACGGAAAGTTGGATCTCAAAATCTCGTTTTTAAGGAGTGTTAATGAATGCCATCTCAAATATTAACATTTTGTCAGTACTAATTCCTTGAATTTCTGCGCAGGGTCTTTCAATTTATTGGTTGCTTTGTGGTAGAAGCTAATTAGGCTTAGACGACTGAAAGTTTTCTGCTGAAGTATTTTTAAATGTTGAGCCTTGTTTTACCCATATTTTAAGCTTCACTTTCTCATGGTTTTATTGATAAGCTAAGTATGTAATTTGTGAATCTTCATCATTCTCATCTATTTCATACAGGTTTCAGCAAAACAGTTCATAGAATTAAATCTTAGAAATGAAGCTCTTTGTTACACACAAAAAAGGTGCACAGTATCAGTCACAAGTAAACATACACAAAGCAGAGGCTAATAGATAAAATTTATCCATAAATATTGGGCCAGATGCCAATAGAAAACTCTAAAATTTGACACCAAATCAGTTCTTCGTTTCTCAAAAGTACAACCCCTCAGAAAGCTTATTTGCATACCTGCTAATTAAAGGGGACAAAATTTAGTGACACTACAGGGTCCGTATTCAAATTAATTTTTTTCTTAGGATATACTTAAAACTGTTATGGCTAGGCCAGTTATATTGAAGGGCGAGCCTGTTGGATAACAATAAGAATACCTAGAGCTTAGCTTCCCACTAGATCAATTAAAATTGATCCAAGATATGAATAAAACACTAATTAAAGTCAAACAATGGAGCAAAAAAAATTAATACCTTGCTCCTCGGGGTGTAAACGTGATTTAGAAGAAAACTATGAAGGCAGACGAGTCAAAGACATGTGACGATTTGTGAATGTCCATTAATACTTTCACAAAACTAGATTAAATTACTTCAAATTAAAAGCTTGATACCTGGGCAAACAAAAGGCTAAAATTTCTTTCATAAATCTAGATGCTATCAGTTATGCCTGGAAGAATGTAGTTTGGCAAGATTATATTTGTAGTTCTTGAAATCAGACTTATATTTTGAGCTTTGAAGTACATCAAGCATCATAAACTGCTAGCTATATCTTCTCTCAATGGTCAGCTTGTACAACCCTGGTATACTTCTTTGACTAGGAGACGGAGCTCTGTTGTCAACGACCAAGGGGTTCGAGTCGTCAGTCAGTAACTAAATTACTGTCATTGACATTGACAAAACCATAGTATATAGGTTACTCACTGCTAGTTTAGACATGCAAGATGAGAGACATTCAAAGCTGATATGAGATTGAATACAGTCAAAACAAAACGAGAAAATTTAGTAAAAACCACAATGATAGTTCGCGCTTAACATTTACTTCCAGTTACAAGATTCGGCATTTGAAACCCTTCTTCTTTTTCTTTACCTGGAGCGCAGCCCTGGTAGCTGTTTCGAAGACTTCGCGCACACCTTCTTTGCTTTTGGCGGAGCATTCTAAATATGCAAAAGCGTTGATTTTGTCAGCCATGGCTCGTCCTTCTTCGGGTCGAACAGGTTCTTGCTTCATTTTGCTGAGCTCTTTGATGGTAACTGGATCGTTGCGAAGATCCTTCTTGTTCCCCACTAGAATGATAGGCACGTTGGGACAGAAGTGCTTGACTTCGGGGGTCCATTTTTCAGGGATATTTTCCAGTGAATCGGGTGAGTCAATAGAGAAACACATTAAAATAACATCAGTGTCGGGGTAGGACAAGGGTCGTAGGCGATCATAGTCCTCTTGCCCTGCAGTGTCCCACAAAGCCAATTCAACTTGCTTACTGTCCACTTCGATGTCGGCTACGTAATTTTCGAAAACGGTGGGCACATAAACTTCTGGAAACTGGTCTTTACTGAAAACGATCAGCAGACAAGTTTTACCACAGGCACCATCGCCTACGATAACTAATTTCTTGCGAATCGCGGCCATTTTCGCGACACAACACAGTTCTCGACACTTCAATAACTATGATGAGCAACGCACATGACACACAAAATGTAGATATAAAGCACAATAATGATGGGGGACTTCGAACCGATGTGAAAATTGGCGATTAAAAACCCGTAATAGTTTCAAAAATACTTAAAAATGGGGTCGGGCTACAATAAGCGTAGGTGAGGAACGTTAAAAATTTTCCGTCTGAGGCTGATACATCACAAAAACACTCCTTGATGCGCGCGCATCGTCATCGGAGAATCTGGCGACCAACCTTGTGCTGCACTCTCGCGTAGAAATTCCGCACTAACCGTCTGTCTCTGTCACACTTTCCGGCTTCCCTCCTTCCCCGCCTGCCAAGGGGGAAAATGGGAATACTCTGATGTACTCTGATGTATCATCAGTTTTTATTTCAATACTCATGAGTCATATTCCATTAGCAATGATATTGATGCATTTCATGAAGGTGCTAGGGTTACTTAAGTATTGTGCAAAGTGTGTCATTATGTTCGTGAATGATTTAATGCATTGACTTCCCCAGTAGCAACGACTGCGACTGTTAAAAAAAAACTTGGAAAAAAACTCAAATTTCAAAAAGACCACTTTTAAGAAAACAGTTTAAATGTTTATTTTAGGAAACTCTTTCAGGGTAATTTTTTCTAAGTAAAATTTACGGGCCGTAAAATTTGAGTAAATTAGTGTTTAAAAAAAACTTCTTAAAATATCGACTGTAGTTTTCCAAAAAAATTTTGAAAAAAGTTTAAACACTACAGTGATACTTCAGAAGTTTTTTCTAAACACTTTGTTTCTTACTTAAATTTTACTGAAAAAATGGCCAAAAAGGGTTTCCTAATTCAAATTTTTTTTAAAAAAATAAAGAGTTTTTTAAAATTTTTAAAAGGTCAATTGCTACTAGAGATCTCGTGCATCTCACGGCTCATCAAATTTTTAGAGTAAGGAGATTCGTTCAAAATTTCTCATCTAGTAGCCTATCGATGAAATAACATAAATAGAGAAAAGGTATCAACGGCACATACGTTGTTTTTTCAATGTACCAGAAATAGTAGTTCCTTAGAGCAGAATTTAGTCCAATTGCAGTCGGTATACTCGCGTTTATCTTTAATATAGGTCATCAACCAATATCCTGACAATATCTGCCTTTTTTGTTGCGTTTTTGAGGCTAGTAACTATACGTTGTCCACATTTGAATGCAAAGATACGCAGGAACGCAGGTCAGAAATGGCATCATCGTCCCACATGTTGTCGTGCAACCTGCAAATTTTTTCATGAGCTACAGCGCGCGTCACAAAACAGACTAGTCACGCCTCAGATTTCAATATAGGGAGAAAACAGAACATAACATAATTTCCATCTATATTTTTACCGAACTTTATTCTGCTTTAGTTTCGCTAATGCACCTAGGAAATATTATGCGTGTCGTGTAGGTATTTCGGCTTTTGATGTTACAGGTTTCTTTTCGCATTTCATTTCTTTAAAAAACGAATGACCATCGTTTTTGTTCAAAATTTCTTGCGAGTCATCAGGATTGATCTTTGAAAATTTCGGACTGAAGCGTCAAAATCAGTTTTTTCAAAGGAAATAAATAATCAAAAGAAAATATGATGCTTTAAAGTGGGGGTAAAGTTGACTCTACATAACATGCTCAAATACCCAATTTTTTTTTTTTAGTTCGAAAGCTTGCAACGGTGTAATGCATTTAAATAATGCATTCCTCGGCAAATTGACACGGTCGTGATAAAACAGTATGGTTCACTCCATCCGCACAATGGGCAACGCTGGAATTAAGCTCCGCTGAAAGTAAAACAAGAAAAAAAAGTCGAAGTAATTATAACGCCTGCAAGGATGCAACAATTCGGACTCCATGAATGTCCGTGTTGCATACACATAAGAGTGAAGGCGTTTTTGACTTCAGACCTCACCAGCAGCACTCAGTGGAGCCATTCAATGGGAGGGGCGGACAAAATGTGGAAGTATCAGAACGTCATATCGATGTAATGAATACGGAACGTAGAGGTTTTAGAGGTGGTTTCATTAATTTTCTCGTATTTCCTCCAATACGCATCCCACGCAATTTATATTGTGAGGATATTAATATCAAAATGTGCAGTTTTAGTCGATACTTTCATGTTCAACCTCTCTGAAAGGCTCGTTCATGGTGCGGCGCGGGCTTTATTGCGAGAATGTACAATGACAGAACGTCATCAATACTCATCGATACTTAGAAGACATCTCTTAGGCATGAATAGTTGCTCTACAAATCAAGCTCAGCACACATCCTACGCCTGCATGCAACTATTAGTGCCTAGGAGGTGTCTTTCTTCTATAAACGACGAATTGAAAGCACTCTGCCATTTCTGATCCTCACAACTAAGCCACCCCTTGGCGCCGCGCCGCTCGAGTGAAGCGGTGAGCACCTGGAAAGTCAAAACGCCTTCAACTCCGTGAGTATGCAACAAGGACATCCACAGGGCCCGAATAGTTGCATCCCAGAGTTACAATGAAATGAAAGTATCGTATTCGTTGCATTCTGCACGAACTAAGGGCTTTCTGCTTGTTTCTGTAACACCGTAACTTAATTACAGCGTTGCCTATTGTGCCGATAAAGTAAACTATAACAGATTTTAATCGCGACATTCTTAATCATTCGAATAATGCTTTGATTTTTTTAATGTATAACAATAACAACGTTACTGTAGTCAAATGTGAGCTGCAGCCCCCACCTTCTCCGACCTAAAAACGATGAATGTATCTCAACATATTTGAAAACCCCCCCGCCCGCCCGCCCGCCCGCCTGCCCGCCCGCTTAAGAGTTAGAAAAGAATCCAGTCAGGAGGGAAAATAAACCCTCCGCATAATTTATTAAAGAAATATATCAAATACAAAATTCAAGAAAAATAAAACGAACTAGGTATAGTGATTAGATACGTAAGTATATACTGAGGGTACTTTACTTACTGACTTTCGTAGTGATGTGAATTTGAATAAAATCAGCATCTTGAGCTGCAATATGATCATAATAGTAAACAAAATGTGCGTTGTCGATCATGTTTCAGCCAAATAGTGTTATCCAGTTCGTTACGGAGTTTTTATCACCAAACTCGCCAAATCAATTCCATTTTTATTTAGTTCCATCGAAGAGAGCTCCCAAAATCGGCATTTTTGGTTCAAAGTGACTACTTGAAATTCAAAGTGCAATCGCTAGAGGTACACTCAACTTACATTGTAATCGGATGTAATAGACTGTAAAATTAAAGCCGGGAGCTTCGTTCCAAAGTTTCCCAAAATATTGTAAATTCGTGAGTTCTTCGCCGTAAGTTTACAAAATTTCGTAATCCGTCAAAATTTGACTGTTTGCCTCGGCATTTGATGAAACGCCTGACTTGACTGATCGCCTGCGACTTATACAAACTAAGGAAGAAAATAATCCCACCTCCTCCTGAAATGAATGAGTAGGTATGCGTTCATCATATGCGCTTAATTTAATTGATTTTATACTTTAGTGGACGACACAAAGGTTCACGTTCATTGAACTCATTTTGATCAGAGAGGAGCAGCAGAAAGCTGTCTGGACATGGCTGCGGCCCTTCATCCTCTCCCCCCCCCCCCCCCCCCCCCTGCCCCCATACGTATTTCTTTCATACGTGTAAGCGTTAGTACTACAGAGCTTTCTACGCTGTTTCCGATACAATTATTTACCTATTGAAATGGGTATGCTTTTTTCCAGTCCTCTGTGATGTGAAAAAACCCGAATCGATTGAATGGAAGCAGATGATTTCCGATTTTCCGCGGCAATGTCAGGTGGAATATAAAATCCGTCATTTTTTTCTTCTCCGTCGCGATCTAGACTTATTTTACATCCCCCATCTAAAAACAGCGTGATAAATCAAATACGTTCTTGTCTCATCTTTTTTTTAATTGAGAGAGTGCCAGTACCTTTTTTCGGAGTCGCTGTAAGTTATTATAGAATACGCAACAGACTGAAATCGCTACATTTTAATAGAGATCTGACATCTCTATACGTCAGAAAAAGATGCAAATAGATTCCCACAAAACGGGTTAATTAAAAGCAGTATTGAAAACAAATTCTATGGATCTAGCCATTTCTGCATTTTCTCCTATTCTATAATCAATAATTCAAAAATCGGTAACCCTTTCCAAATACTGACAGATACCTCGAAAAAGATGGGCTTGAAAAAAAAGAAGAAAAAAAAATTGAAAAGAATTTTGTTTTGGAACATTAACAAAATTATTGTTTTTGAACCACGAGAAAAGTATTGTCCAGGTCAAAAGTAATAGTCATTCAAAATATTTGAAGTAAAAAAAAAGTGACTCCTAAGCGTAAAAAAAGTATAACGACGGTGAAAGTCGGCAATCACATGATTCGTTTGCGATGTCTGAAAATCTCCGTCTCTACGTCATTTTTTTAAAGGAGAACAAATTGATATTATTTCTTGAAATTTTTGCAGAATTTTCTTCGCATTGAGAAGAAAAATCATGACAGTTTTAAAGAATTGCCGTTGAGTAGTTTTCCATTTAAAAAATAAAGTATGACAGGAAGTCTGCGACGTCGCAAACCGAGTTATGTGATTGCCGACTTTCACCGTCGATAAGGTGGAACTGTCCGAATAGAATTTTTAGTCTTAACCAGTATATTAGAGTTTTAATCGATCTTTTTCTTCTTTAAATGTATCAAACAGTGGCAATGCGTGAATGATCGATTATCGCCCTGGTAAAAATTAGCAGTAGAATCTGTGTTCCAAAATACCATAGACCTACAGCCGGCTGTAAGATTTCCAATAGCTTCTATAGCCGGCAACACAATTTCTTTTAGCCTTTTATAGCCGATGGCGATTAAGCAACAGCCTGGCGATAAAGTGTGTGCTAAACGTTACTAATTACAGATGCTAGGACTCAGTGAGTTATGCTACTACCGCTCTCTTTTTGGGCCGCAGTATCTTGATTTAATTTGCGAGGAAAGCTCCGTACTTTTGAAGGATGCCTGCCAATCCTAATATGTTGGAGCGCCTTCAATTTCGTTTGATACCGTGCAATACCTCTGGTGTGAAATAGTTGCTTCAAGCGCCGTGGTACGCTGCGGCGCGGCGGGCGGGCAGCCAGCGCTGAACGCGCATTGGCGCCTACAAACCTAACTGGGATACTTCACGCATTGCGCAATGCGTGAGGTATCCCTGTTAGGTTTGTAGGCGCCAGTGCG